GACAGGCGAAGTTGCTGTCAGGACCCGGAGTAACTAACTCCCAATCGGGGGGGAGCCCGCTGAACTACCTAAAGCTCTCGACTTGAGCGGCAGAGGCGTAAGAGAAAGGGTTTAAAGTGGCTAATTTGGCCAAAGTACAAGCTACCGAAACAACCTTTCGAGGGTCGAGAGGAGTAACTAAGGATACAAGTACAGGACTGGTACTATACATAGGGATATCTAACAACCTAAGGGGAATACCTCGAGGAATCAAGTCGAGACGAGGAGAGTTTCCCCGAGGACTCTTTGAGACCTCAACTAGACCACCGTCTAACAAGGCCTGATCATATTCAGCCCAGTCGACCTTCGGGGTCGAAGTACGCGAGGAAGAGGGCGAAGCATTAACCATCTTATAACCGGTAATCTCGACCGAGCTTGAGTCAGCATGGTCAAGGCCCCTGTCGATCAATCTGTCGAGGGTGTTAGGCGAAGAACCGGAGTTGGAAGCTGGAAGAAAGAGAAACAAAGGCAAAGATCAGACGTGACGAAACAAAATCGAACAAAGAATAGTCGACTCACTAAAAGTCGACAGAAATACGGACAAGGAGGAAAGTGATACGGGGTACTTCAATAGAAACACGAAGGCAAGACGGCATAAAAGTCGACTCAAGGAAAGTACAAAGAGAAAGACAACAAATATCGATAAGAGCCGACATAACAAGAGCCAACAGGAGGTGTCACGCGGTGGCCTAAGTCGCACGATAACAATTTACCTAATTAAAGAATGATTCACGCAGGATCTAACCTAAAGCCTCCAAAAAAAAATCAAAAAACACGAAGAACACAGCAATTCAGAAAAACCCAGAAAACAAAAAGAATAAAGGATAGAGTGGTAGAGAGAAAAGAAAACACTTACACATATCGTCGATCTAACAGGTAATTAAGATTCAGCAACGGTGGAAGAGGTCGCCGGAAAAGAAAGCTTGGGTTTTTAAATCGCCGGAGTTGCAGAAGAAATTGGGGAGAAGTAAAAAAGACTCAAAGCAAAGATCTAATCCTATTTATAGGAAATAAGATGGATGTCAGCCGTTAGATTAAAAGGAAACCAACGACTATGATGAGGCACAGAATGCGAAGAGTCAGCGGTTGACGTGACGCGCGTCACTCAAAGGATTTTAAATTCGAAATTTATAAAGAAAAGGAGCGGCATTGTCAGACTTATCTTGAACAATTAATCATTAATGAGGAGGATTCGACCCAAATAGCAAGGCATAACAAGCGAACAAAGAAGGGGTTAAGTATCTTAATGACAAGAAGAAATGACGATTGATTCATCTCCACACCGACTGAGGTGTAAGAAGCTGACTATATTGAATTTTTCAAAACGACTATATGGCCGACAAAATGGCTATATCGAACCAGAAGCTACTGCTCGACTTCGACCAGCTCACAAGATGGGTTGGGAGAAGACGACTCGAAAAAACTTAGTTCAACAGCAACAAAGCTGTCAAAACTGTTGCTCGATTTCGACCAGCTCGCAAGATGGGTTGGGAGAAGACGACTCAAAAAAACTTAGTTCAACAGCAACAAGCCTGTCAAAACTGTTGCTCGACTTCGACCAGCTCGCAAGATGGGTTGGGAGAAGACGACTCGAAAAAACTTAGTTCAACAGCAACAAAGCTGTCAAAACTGTTGCTCGACTTCGACCAGCTCGCAAGATGGGTTGGGAGAAGACGACTCGAAAAAACATAGTTCAACAGCAACAAGGCTGTCAAAACTGTTGCTCGACTTCGACCAGCTCGCAAGATGGGTGGGGAGAAGACGACTGGAAAAACTTAGTTCAACAGCTACGAAGCTGTCGCAAGATGACCTGAAAAACCTAGTTCAACATCCATGAAGCTGTCGAAACTACTTCTCGACTTCGACCAGCTCGCAAGATGGGTTGGGAGAAGACAATAAGGTGAAGTAAAAAAACCAAACAATAAAGTGAAAAGATACAGCTGCGAGAAGACGACGATATAAAAATAACGTAATACGCATTATAATTAAAGGAAATTCATTACATCCGACGCCATCTCACCCTTTACAAAGGGAAAATAGGATGAGATGGTAAAAACAAAGAGAAGAGTACATGCAGAAACA